AAAGCTAAATCTCAGACTCTACAGGCCTCAGTTAACATGTTAAATTTTAACGGTCATGGCAGTACAATTAGAAAAAAATGGGACAAGTATGGCATGTCTGGAAGGGTCGCTAGGAGGAAGCTTCTATCTTAAAAGAACATGGAAACACGGCTTAGGTTTGCAAGGTTGCATCTGAAGAAACCTGAAAACTTCTGGAACAATGTCCTTTGGACAGATGAGAACAAAGTGGAGATGCTTGGCCATAATGCACAGCGCCACGGCCCAGTCAAAGGACCCTAAGAGAGCTGTGTAAAAACAAATGCCCCCAAACCTCAATGAACTGAAGCACTGTAGTAAAAAAGAGTGGGACAAAATTAATTTACAATGATGTGAGAGACTGATACTGTCATACAGAAGACGATTACTTTACGTTATTGCTGCTAAAGGTGGTCTTTAAGCTATTAAAACATGGGGTGTACTTTGTCACACATGGCATCTCCATTTTGGCTCTATTTTTGTTAAATAAATAATGACAGTGTAATATGTAATTTGTTGTTGTTCATCTGAGGTTGTATTTACCTCATTTTAAGACCTAAAGACCAGATTATTTTTTAATATGTCCTGATACGTAAAAACATACAATTAAAAAGGGTGTATTTTCTTTTTCACAAATGTTAAGTCAAGCCTCAAAGATTATTGCTGTTTAACTGGTAAATTATATTATATTATAGAAACAATAAATCCTGCGCTGAAAACTGGGACTGCATTGCACTTACATGGGAGATCCTACATCTGCAATACAGCACTAATGAAACGTATGACTTATGAGGATTAACTGCCAGTTGTTCGTGATGAATCTCTTTTAATATAACAGCCAACTTTAGTTGCCACATTTCCATTATCAAGTCTGACAAGCCTTTATTAAGAAAAAGCATTCCTTCTATGGGTTCACAACCCTCTTTGTAGACTTGTTTCTGATGGATTGACTTATAAGTGTATTGAACAAAAGTTTTACAGTGCTGGAAAAGCAGTGCAGCAGTGAGTCTGAGTCATCGTGCTGTTTTAGCAGAGGGACAGCGAGTGCCAGGAGTGAGAACGAGAACATGGCTCAGAATTTCCACTTGCATTTATGGGACTTCCACTCTATCACTGTAGCCTCTATATTATTATCAGAGAAAACATTCTTGTCTAAGAACTTACTCTGTAACTTGGTTTTAAGTGACAGTAAAATGACATGAACAAGTGACACTTTTTAAGGTAATAGCATATACATGCTGCTGTGAGTCTTGATTTCATGTACAATCCCTATGGGGGTCTCCATCACAAACTGTTACATGAGCAGACATTCACCTCATAGAAACAGAATGTAATTCTATAAATGTGTTTTGAAATAGATATTGCTCTGCACACATATTTAACTGGAAAATACCAGTATCAGAGATAGAAGTTGTGTCATCAACTTGTTTCTGAAGTTCCGACGCAAACAGATTTCAGTTAGGCTAGATTTGCTAAGCAGGATTTTGTATTTGTGTGTATTTCTCATCGATTTGATAATGACAGGGATACGAATCTCTTAGTCTTTGCCACATTTCCAGCTGAATCATGCTAAGAGATGTAATGCTAACCTTTGGGTCTGCAGCTCACAGACGTTTTTGAGTGACGATGAGCTATACTTCAGGAATGTCTTCTGAATTTTGCGAACAAATCCTTCTCCGATAACATTTAATAAAACAGTGATTTATCTGTGTAAATGTTAAATGACCCTTTAGAACAAAATATTTACCTTGATTAAAATATTTGATCTTTTCAATATTTTTACTAAATCATGTTTTTGAAAACGTAAAAATGCAGAGAGTTTTGTGTGATGGGTAGGTTTAGGGGTAGGGTTAGTGTAAGGGGGTAGAATATACATTTTGTACAGTATAAAAACCATTGCGTCTATGGAGAGTCTGTGTGTGTGCATGTGTTGGACACCATTCTTCACCTTTATTGTATAAAAAGAGAAGCTATAGGATAATCTGCTATAACTCCACAATAGAAACAAAGGCACTTATGAGGATGAGAAAATGCTGACAGATGTTTAATTTTTGGGTGGACTGTCCCTTTAAGAGTTAAGAGTAATTACAGCGGAGAACATCAATTACACTAAACTGTCTTCTCCAATCTCCCTAATGATATAAACCTCTGTTTTGTATTGTTCTGTATTGACAGATGTCATTGGTATCAGGAGACAGTGACAAAGACTCAGATATAAACGGACTGTCTAGCTCCGGGTCCAGTTGTCATGGCTACCATTATGCTGTCTGATGCTGAAGTACATTTTCTGTGGGAAATTTGTTCTGTTACCCCGGTGTTCAAACCCAGCGTGCTCTCTCTCTCTCTCTCTCTCTCTCTCTCTCTCTCTCTCTCTCTCTCTCTCTCTCTCTCTCTCTCTCTCTCTCTCTTTGTGTGTGTTCTCTCCATTTGTACAGACAGTGTTCTTGCTTCTGTATGGCCATTAAATGACGTACATTGTGTCATACAGATGTTCCAGAAATAAATAGTTTTTAGGAAAAGAAAGCCTCCACTTGTAGATATGCCACCCCTGCCCTGCAATAAATCAGTTAGTTGGATACGCGAGTGGGATTTTATTTATTTATTTGTTTATTAAGTCATTTAATCGTTTAGTCACGTAGAGAAGAGCTGAAGAGGTGGATGGACAGTGGAGGTACAGTCTGTAGAGCCGGTTGCCATGGAGACACTTATCTAGCTGTGGGTCGGGGGTATTTCTGGATGGAGTAGTGCCTTTAGGGGAACCCTGGACGGATTGGGACAGAAAACTTGCTTATGACGATCAAACTGTCCCCGGATGAATATTGAGAGTTCGGATTTAACTGTTCTCCCAACACCTGTGATGTCTAAATCTGTCATTGCAACTTACAAAGGCTAAAAACAACAATTCTTCAACTCAGAGCCTTCTTTCTTATACCGCATGTAAGGGGTTAAATGACTATCAGTATGGCAGAGTCACTGCACTTAAGTTGTCGCCTGTGGGAGGTTCTGAGTCACCCAATCATTTACATTTCTCCTCCACACTCAAATACTCTGATGATGATTCAGGTGCACTTATTCCCAGCAGTCCACCTCTTTCAGCCGCTCTTCCTTTCTGTCTATTTAAAGATATCAGCTACCTTTATACAAATGATCAAGACATGGGGATTCTGTAATGACATTTCACTCAAATAATCTAATAAATAGAATACAACATGATGCAGCATTTAATATATGACTTATCTGCATGCTCATAGAACAAGTTTGGTTTTCCTAAAAAAAATACTTTTGAGGGGAAAAAAGAATAATATACAATATATAACTGTATATATGTATATATATATATATATATTAGTGTATGACTTTCTTTCTTCTGTATGAAGGTATTTTGAAGAATGTTGGTAACCAAACTGTTTTGGTTTGCATAAACTCTAACTATGAGCAATATCTGTCTGCATGCCTTCAAAAAGCACAAATCCATGCCCGACTCTCAGAGCATTGCATAACATGGATTGACTTCAGTGTAAATATAGTTTTAGAAATATTCAGAAGCAGCTAATAGATTTAAACAGTTCAAAAGGTACAGAGGAAAATCCAAGGCCTTGGATGTTAACTTATGTAATAGCGTTCCTGAATATAGAGCCTGTACGCAAAGGAGACTGAATGTAGAAATACCTTGGACTGTGGAGTGACCAGACATCAGAGAGTCTCGTCCCCTGCTGTGTTAATGTAAAGCCTGATCTGGGGCCAGACAGCTGTATCGAGCACTCTTATTGACTGGGGCCAGTTGCATCTTAAGATCTAGTATGACCCATTATTTAGTCATGGGGCTGTCATACTTAATTTTCGGTATTAAATTAGACCAATCTACGTTTTTATGTAACTGACTTAAAAAAGTTATGAACAGTCAAAAAAAAAAAAAAAAACGATTTGATGACTAACTTGTAAGACCAGTCTTGACGGTTTATGTAGGTGGTAAGGAGCGCATGGTTGGAGGTGGAGAGGGGCATAAAAGCAGTAGAAAACACTGTGGATACTGCATCATCTCATATAGCCTACATATACGTGATACAGCTCTTTTGCACCTTCTTCAAAATCAAATTCTCATTTGTCAAATACAGAATGTTACTCTAGGTTAAAAGTACACACTCCAGACATATTCCTGTACATTTAAATACAAATAGAAGAAAAACAAATATTTAGAATAAACATTAGAAAAATGTTGTAATATTTTAAACAAATTTATTTGGTGAAAAATAGCTATATGAGTGTCTACTATTAGTCAATACAAAATCATGTCAAATATATTTTAATCATTTCATTAAGTTCCCTTCTTTGTGAGCACACTTTCTCAGATGTCTACAATGCACTTCACTGAGGCAGATGGTTCTGGAGAGTGACTTGTGTGCCTTGTGCGGGGCGGGGCCTATGCAGATTGTGGGCGTGGTCAAATGAATGGAGTAGAATGTCATGCAGCTCTAACCGGCAGACAGCTAAAGGATATTTTCACACGGTAAGGTCTGTTTTCATTTCTGTATTACCTCACAAATACAAGTGAAACACATATCAAGAATGTGATTGACAGCATAAGTTATCATTTCCTGTAAGATTTCACAGTGAGGTTTTGAAGGCTAGTCTGTTTTAAAAAACTTTAACTTAGTCTTGCCGGAGAGAATTTGACATCTTCAGTAGCTCAACGAATAGTAATGATTAATACTGATACAATAACTGTAAATATGTCATAATTACAGACAGTTCAATGACTGTTATCAGCTTCAGGCTTTTGAATTTGTATGGTCTTCTTTACTTTTATGAAAGTGCGTGTGTTTCAAAACCTCGCTGCCTGCTGCTTAGAAAGCTCAGAAGGATTTGAGACAGCCAGTATTGATTTCATCTTTTCTTGCGTCTAATTTAAGGACGTTGTCTAATCGCACCCTGGTTTGCACACTCTGCAGAGCCTATATAGCTGTATGATGGTGCAGACGCGGATAATCCAACATCTATTTTTATGCGAAAAATACATAAAGAGGTCAGGCTTGTCTAACTGACGTCAGTGAGATATCACTCAGTCACCAGTCGTCCGTTATTTTTTCATTGGTGGTCAGCGTGACATCATTAAATACCGGAGAGGAATACCGGGAGACCTCAGAGGTTTTGATTTAGCGATGAGGATTTCCTGTCGGATGCGGCAAACCGGCATCATAATCTGCAGATATTGTAACTGGTGAGCTTTAATGAAATTGTTCGTGATCTGTCGAAGGGTATATACTATAGGTATATAGGCTAGGTAGGTATATATTGGGATGTGTGTATTTTAGAACCGTTTTTTTTTCTCTGTTAAACGGAAAATAGACCAAACAAGCAAATAACGTTAGCCTAAATGCAACTTGACACTTTTTAAACGCATGTGTGTTTATGTGTGTAAATCGAAACTGCTATGTATAATATGCTGAACATAAAGTCTTTGTTAGTGTTTCTCGAGCTGTGTTTCTTTCTGCAGTGCCGCCCAAACGAAACGCTCAAATGTTCAAGGGCTTCTCTTAACGCGATACAGTTTATTTTCAAATAGCCTACGTCTGTGCTACTGCATGCTGTGCAACGCTCTTGTCCACATGATTGTAGAATATTGCTGTACGATATTTATCTGTACTGCTTGTGTTTTTATGAATATCGTGGACACTGACTGATTGCAGCAAAAGCTCTCTGCATAAGTAGGCTATAATATCCAACAAGCTGAAGTGCTGCTGTTCTTCATATCAGCACGACTGAAATGCCGTGGGAGACTGAGCGTTTGATATTACTTAACAGTTAATTAAAAACTAATCAATTTCAAATACTTCATATTTAAAACACAAATTGGCCAATTAATTTGTATATTTCAGATTTCTTTCAGAATTTAGGCATAATTTAATTTTCGTTTATTCCCATTTAAATGTTATTTTCCCCATCTTAAAATGAGGGGGCCACTATATATATATATATACAGTGGGGAGAACAAGTATTTGATACACTGCCGATTTTGCAGGTTTTCCCACTTACAAATTAGCCTATGTAGAAGTCTGTAATTTTTATCATAGGTACTCTTCAACTGTGAGTGACGGAATCTAAAACACAAATCCAGAAAATCACATTGTATGATTAATTCATTTGCATTTTATTACATGACATAAGTATTTGATACATCAGAAAAGCAGACCTTAATATTTGGTACAGAAACCTTTGTTTGCAATTACAGAGTTCATACGTTTCCTGTAGTTCTTGACCAGATTTGCACACACTGCAGCAGGGATTTTGGCCCACTCTCTACAGATCCTTCAGGTTTCGGGGCTGTCGCTGGACAATACGGACTTTCAGCTCCCTCCAAAGATTTTCTATTGGGTTCAGGTCTGGAGACTGGCTAGGCCACTCCAGGACCTTGACCCAGCCACGACCCATCTTTAATGCTCTTACTGAGGGAAGGAGGTTGTTGGCCAAGATCTCGCGATACATGGCCCCATCCATCCTCCCCTCAATACGGTGCAGTCGTCCTGTCCCCTTTGCAGAAAAGCATCCCCAAAGAATGATGTTTCCACCTCCATGCTTCACGGTTGGGATGATGTTCTTGGGGTTGTACTCATCCTTCTTCCTCCAAACACGGCGAGTGGAGTTTAAACCGAAAAACGCTCTATTTTTGTCTCATCAGACCACATGACCATCTCCCATTCCTCCTCGGGATCATCCAGATGGTCATTGGCAAACTTCAGACGGGCCTGGACATGCGCTGGCTTGAGCAGGGGGACCTTGCTTGCGCTGCAGGATTTTAATCCTTGACGGTGTAGTGTGTTACAAATGGTTTTCTTTGAGACTATGTGGTCCCAGCTCTCTTCAGGTCATTGACCAGGTCCTGCCGTGTAGTTCTGGGCTGATCCCTCACCTTCTTCATGATCATTGATGCCCCACGAGGTGAGATCTTGCATGGAGCCCCAGACCGAGGGAGATTGACCGTCATCTTGAACTTCTTCCATTTTCTAATGATTGCGCCAACTGTTGTTGCCTTCCCACCAAGCTGCTTGCCTATTGTCCTGTAGCCCACCCCAGCCTTATACAGGTCTACAATTTCATCTGATGTCCTTACACAGCTCTCTGGTCTTGGCCATTGTGGAGAGGTCGGAGTCTGTTTGATTGAGTGTATGGACAGGTGTCTTTTATACAGGTAACAGGTTCAAACAGGTGCAGTTAATACAGGTAATGAGTGGAGAACAGGATGGCTTCTTAAAGAGAAACTAACAGGTCTGTGAGAGCCGGAATTCTTACTGGTTGGTAGGTGATCAAATACTTATGTCATGCAATAAAATGCAAATGAATTACTTAAAAATCATACAATGTGATTTTCTGGATTTTTGTTTTAGATTTTTGTTTTAGACTTTTGTTTTAGATTTTTGTTTTTGTTTTAGCTTTCACTCACAGTTGAAGAGTACCTATGATAAAAATTACAGACTTCTACATGCTTTGTAAGTGGGAAAACCTGCAAAATCAGCAGTGTATCAAATACTTGTTCTCCCCACTGTATATATAATTAATTGGCCAATTTGTGTTTTAAATGTAAAGTAGCCTATTTGATACAACCGATGCTCGTTAACCGATAAAATTATGTTTAACTAGAATTAAATTCGAATGGATAAGTGTCTGTGACCCATTAAAAATACCTAAATTTGTTTTGTTCTGTTTTATGCAAATAGCAGCATAAACAACAGAACATTAGGATTCACACACTTAAAATACTAATCTCACTTAAATAGGCCTACAGATTAACAAAAATAAAGAAAAAACTGTGCGACAAGTTGCCTATCCGCAGAGTTTCCATACATTTTTGTGTCGCACGCACTCCACTAACTTCACGGAAAGGAAACCGAAATGGCAGAAAGCGGCATCCTGTTTGTTTTCTTTATTTCACAAAAGCACAATGTTTTTTTTTTATTGTGAGTGTAAAAAAAAAAAAAAAAGACCGTGATGTGTGACCACAAATGACAGAGCATTTTAAGTTGTTTCCGCTGTTATAATGAGAAAACATTATTTGGCATTGTGCAGATTTGTGTCGTAGAAGTCTCACTACTTTAGTTACTTAAATGTGAAGCCTCAGGTGCTGCTTCATTCGCTGTCTCCTCATGGAAAGGTGAAGTAGGCACAGATGTAGATTGTACTTTTTCTACTTCTCGCTCATTTTTCCGTGATTTCTTGAAAAAGCGCAATAATGAACTTTGTGCACCCACCAAGTGTCACCGCATGCTAATCAACTCTCACGCACAAAGAAAATGACAGCATAGGGTATGCACAACACATTAATCAAACCAATAAGTTTGAAAACAGCGGCTGTTGCATTTTACCGCACTGCATCGGTCAATCTATCAGAGTAACAAACCTGAATGCATTTTTATTTCTTTATTGGTTACCTTGTTTATTTTCACCTTTGTTTTGTAGAGAGCTTGGGGTGGTTCTGGAAGGACTCTATCTGTAAATTAAAGCCATGGGGAAGGATTACTATAAGACCCTTGGCATACCTGCAGGCTCTAATGAGGATGAAATCAAAAAAGCCTACAGGAGGATGGCCCTAAAGTTTCATCCAGACAAAAACAAGGATCCTAATGCTGAAGAGAAGTTTAAGGAGATAGCAGAGGCTTATGAAGTTCTGAGTGACCCAAAGAAGAGAGTGATCTATGACCAGTACGGCGAGGATGGTGAGTATGTTTGGTTCCATATACAAAATAACTACAGCCAAACATCTCAGTACCTTATCAGATTCTATGACTCATTATTGGGGCATTATCAGTTTTCTGAAAACAATAGTTATCTTTTATTTACAATTTGATAACCATTATATAGGCAGCTTTAAGTTGAAAGTTTCACACTTTTTACCCAGGTTATGAAACCCTGCTTTGGAGCATGATTAGAACCACTTTTGCTGTGTTCATCATACAATCACTGACACTGCAAATAAGAACGTAAACCCAGGGTTTAGGAATTAACAGTGTGAAACGTTGGATTATAAATACCTAGGATTTATTGTTAACCTCAGGTTAGTGTGAATCGTGAAACATGATAATTTAGGATTCAGTTTTTGCAGGGGTTAGAATGACCGAGTTTTTGCAGGGAAAAGCAATGTCCTTCGGATGAGACGTTAAACCGAGGTCCTGACTCTCTGTGGTCAAAAAAAAAAAAAAGAATTCCCTGGATGTCCTTCGAAAAATAGAAGGGGTGTAACCCTGGCATCCTGGCCAAATTTGCCCATTGGCCTCTGTCCATCATGGCCTCCTAATCATCCCCATACTGATTGGCTTCATCACTCGCTCCTCTCCACCAAGTTGGTGTGTGGTGGGCGTTCTGGCGCAATATGGCTGCCGTTGCGTCATCCACACGGATGCTGCACATTGGTGGTGGTTAAGGAGATCCACCCCTCCCTATATAAGCACTATATAAAAATGTAACAAATTATTATTAAGTGCAATTTAAAATTCGTTTAGGTGTAAAACGAAGTTCGAAATACTTTAGCAGCAGTATGCTGTTATCGAACATCTGACGCTGCCCACATTGCAGAGAGCGACGGTTAGATGAATATGTAAATATATGCTGTGCGCTTTCCTCTCAATAAAATACACAACAACAAAATTGAGAAAACAGCAAGCATTTTAATAAAGCATTTGAAAAATATTTGGTTATAGCAACGTGGTTATGTTTGCACAAGCTCCTCTACAGCACTCCAGTGAACTCACGTCACATTTATTTATATATCACTTTATACACTAGATAGCATAAAATCAATCAGCATTTCTGTATTAAACATGAAAAACAGTGTCAGTGTCTCGTTTCATCAGAAGTACAACTGCATTTTTCTACTATAAAGCAGCTCTCCAGTGTGTTCATGTTTTCACTCAAGGACTTCTGACCTCGACTGACTGCACAGGAAAAAAAATTACCAGTGTGAAAAGTTCCTAATTATTGGTCTAAAATAGTGCATTGTACTCCAACATATCTTTTCTAAGAAAACATTACAGATGCTACAACAAGACTTCATGGACCCAGGCACAGTTCTGTGTTTATGCCAGATCGGACAAACCTTAAAAGGATCTTGTCGTGGCTCACGTGGATAGACCACTGTTCTTTATACACTGTCAGTGCAACTCTACCACCTCTGCTTTTTCCCAACAATCAAAATAACTCCTTCACACTACAGGATGATGCAGAAAAGTACTCTAACTAATGCAAGGACTATGAACATGGCACTGTTCCAAAATAATAAAAATGTCTGTGGAAACAAAGAAGGATTTCAAATGTTCCCACTTATGCCAACTCCAGGCTAGATGCCAAACCTAGCATCGTTGCACTGAGTAGTACACCTTTGCCAATTCCTCCTTCACTGAAGTTACTCCTGAATTTTGCAAGGACTCCCTTTATGTTTTTAGAGTCTTTGCATAAATTCTTTCTGTGCACCGTGGCGTGGTTCCATATTGCTTGTAAAAAGAGCCAGTGGGTTCCCTCAAAAGGCTGTGGCTGCAGCAGAGAGCTTATTTGCCTCTATTAACACATTGAAAAATTATGTTTTTAAATCTGTATTTTAAGATATGAATCTGTTATTCCCAAATGACTCACTTTAATAACCATCCCCTCATTAACTGTGGCCTGAGGAGTTTGTTGAAATTGCAAAGAATGAAATGGAAACATGTTTTATAAGATGTCCGCATTAAGTATAGAGTTGAGGATGTGAAGTTGCAAGATGAGTCAGCTTGTGTCCTGGTAGTTAGGAGTGCATTTGTTACAAGCCATCAATCATCCACCATAACACATGGATGTTAATGTTTTTTTTTAACAGAACTGAACAGTCAAAAAAGTTTATTATTGTTTGATCGTAATTGACCTGCTCTTTTTATACTTCTGTTTTTGTGCAGAGGACAGAGGACAGTAAAACTCATAACACAGTTCAGACACCTGAGCTTAGAGAACACATATTCACCGTGCTATGGCCTTCCACTCATACAGGATCATTAGTTCCCCGGGATTTGTGCTACTTGTTCTTTTCAGCCCATTTGAGAGGGGGTGGAGAAAAGAGAGAAAGAAAGACTTGGAAGGTCTTCTGTTGAGCTTTACACCTTAAAATGGTGATGTGTAAACAGCTGCAGGCTAAATCAAATTCTATTCCATGCTACGTCATGGAGTAGGCTAGTACTTGATAATTGTCCAGCAGGACCATACAATTAACTCAGTTATTTTCCTTTTTTCATTAAACAAATAGAAATTTCTTATGAGTTTTTTTTTTGTGTGTGGCTATTTCACTTTTTGGCCATTTCAAATAATTGCCATGCAAATAAATAGACTGTCCTCTCTTAGTAATGTCAAGGGAATGAGTCAAAGAATCATTTTGGAATTGGCATCACTGAAAGCTAGAGAGTTTCTTAACCTTGAAACGGTCACAGAAGATGCTTACCTGTGGAATTGGGCAGAACTTAAAATACCTGGAAGTAAATGCAGAAAACCCTAATACATTGTCCCCCCTGTGTATTTCCTTTCAGGTTTGAAAACAGGTGGCACAGGCTCATCTAGTGGACAAGGGACTACATATCACTACACCTTCCATGGTGATCCACATGCCACCTTTGCTTCTTTCTTTGGAGGCTCCAACCCCTTTGATATATTCTTTGGCTCTGGACGCCAGCGAGGAACCACTAATGGCTTTGCAGACCATGGTGACCATGACAAGGACATTGAAATGGATGGAGATGATGATCCTTTCAGTTCCTTCAGCCACTTTGGCTTCAATGGTATCAACGGTTTTCATCATGGTGGAGGTCGAAGACATCGTAATGAGCCCCTTCATGGCGGCCGGAGGAAAGTACAGGACCCTCCGGTAGTACATGAGCTTAGAGTGTCTCTAGAAGAGATCTTCCACGGATGTACCAAGCGAATGCGAATCACTCGCAGACGACTGAACCCAGATGGAAGGACAATGAGGACAGAGGACAAAATCCTTAACATTGTCATCAAGAGAGGCTGGAAGGAAGGGACCAAGATCACCTTCCCCAAAGAGGGTGATGAGACACCTGAGAACATTCCTGCTGATATTGCATTTGTGCTCAAGGACAAAGGGCACCCACTCTTCAAAAGAGATGGCTCCAATATCATTTACACAGCCAAGATTGGTCTTAAGGAGGTATGTGCTCTTAAATCTTCACTGTTTTGACAATCAGTTTTCAGTCAATTTGGTTTCCACCATGTATTTACCCACAATATATTGCAGTGTTTCCCAACCCTGTTACTGGAGGAAAACCAACAGTACACATTTTGGATGTCTTCCTTATTTTACCTATTCATTTCAGGTCTTGGAGTCTCTTCTAATGAGCTGATGAGTTGAATCAGATGTGTTTGATTAGGAATTGTTCGAAAATGTGTAGTGTTGGTGTGCCTCAAGGAGCAGGGTTGGAAAACACTAGCTATGTTTCCTTTCAAAGTTATGAATTTAACTTAACAAAATATCATTGGTGCAAAATATCTGTAATAAAAATGGAAGTTGCTTCTATCAGGGAAGCCACTGTGGCTCTTTTTTTCCTACATCATAAATTACTTTTATCTCGGAGCCACAGACGAAACATGCTGTCATGTCATCATGCATTTGGATACCTGGTGTTTGAGAGTGCAAACATGAGAGACACTTCTGGGAGGTCATTATACCAAATGATTCTGGTGACAGTCTTTGGCTCAGGCATTTCAGATCACACCAATATTTGGGATGCTGTACAATGAAATTGGTCCGCTGGTTAGACCAGTTATCCAGTCACATTCACTGTTGACTTTTTTTGTTGCGCATAGAGGGATTTATTCGGTAATGGGTTTGCACTGTAGTTTATGAGCATGTCTTCTCATTGGATAAAAAATGATCCGCCTCAATTGAGTGCACATGTATTTTATGCGCATTCTTAGAACTTATACGCATCTTGGCATTTCCATCCAGCGTTTTTTTATGCGATATTCCAAAATGCGCATAAAATAGGTGGATTGAAAGCTACTTATATATTGGTTATTGGACAGAATTTCCATATTGTGCATCCCTAATTGACAGTCTGTTTTTTTTAACCTGTGGGCTTTTTCCCACTATTCCTTGACATTCCCTTACTGGCCGTCAAAGCAGACTGGGTTGTTTTATCAGTTGGCTTCTGTAGCCCAAGAATAGACAGACCCAGACTTAGATTAGACAGGTTTATGACAGTCTCCACAATGGACCACCCTTTGGCCCTCATTAACATGGACTTAAAGGGTAAATTAATGGGCTTCATTTGGTATCAAACCCCACTCCAAAATAAGTGCTGACCTTGTTAACCTGCACAGCTGCTAAATTTGGCTGCATTATTTTCCCAACGCAAACCATTGGTAGGTAATTTTCCTGCAATGTCTGTGACTAGGGCTGCACAATATTGTTTCAGCATCAACATGTGTGCATCTGCGATAGATAGATAGATAGATAGATAGATAGATAGATAGATAGATAGATAGATAGATAGATAGATAGATAGATAGATAGATAGATAGATAGATAGATAGATAGATAGATAGATAGATGTTACATAAGTAGGAAACATAGTTGATCCGTGATTCATACGGACCAGGCCCCACATTTCAGAACCCATGTGAATCGCGGATTAATAGCATAGTTTAACCATCATAGAGTGAAAGTTTATTATTTGCATGTTTTTTTAAGTCCCGTCAGTTTAAACATTCAAACGAGTTTAAAGCATTCAAGCACAAGAAGACGCAAAAGAAGACTCAACTTGGGCGCTGTTTTCTGTGTGCTCACACAGAGCCGCCCAGACAGCACGCGAACACTGAATTCAGTTCTCTTTCTCATATTTTAGTGCTTGAACAGACACATACATGCAAAATTGTCAAAATGCCCATCTCTGCAAGTATCCTCGTAAACACACTTGTCTTAAGTGAAAGTAAACAATTGAGAAAACAGATGCGTATCATTAGGCTATATTGAATCCGTGCATTAGGTCTTAAATTGACAGCAGCCTAATATACCTGCTGCCGTCTATATCATTAATGTTGTAAAAAAACAACAACAACAACAACCTTGCATCACAATAAGTGGTAACTAAACTAAACATTTGGTAACTAAACAGAATTTCATTAAGTTTATTGACAACATTTTACAATGTTTACATTTTCACATCTAAGCTTGTGATTTGATCGGAATCTTGATTCAATATCGATTCATTTGGATAAATATTTGGTACAGTAGCTACATTTTAATTTCTCAAATATCTCAAAGCAGTAAACATACAGGGAGCCCTGTCTATTGGTATTATTATTAAAGGTTAAAATTAACAACTCAAATTAATATAATGCGGTTTTTATAATAATAACTTTATAATATTTTTAATGATATGACTAAAAATATTATAAATCGATCTGTCACATCACATCACAATTTTGTAATGAAATTTCATAATAAAATTGACAGAATTTGAAAGCTGAGACTTTGTTTTTAAAGTAACCTGCTCTGTCATGTCTGTCGATGTCAGTAACTGCGTTTCCATTACAGATTTGCGCAAAACTTTTGCAATATTTTCCAAACTATTGCGAAATGATGGCATTTCTCCCTCCTATGCTTCATTGTCTTGATAAATTGTGGCATTTCTTTGTTTAGAATCCAGTATTCCCGAATTTAACCCATTCAAATTCCATTACCCTTCAAATTGTGCAAATTGAAATTGCAATTGAAAATTGCTGTTGTGGCATTTTGTGTTGCATTACCATGAAAAGAGAATACATAAATAAATTAAATGAAATGAAATGAAAAAAATATGCCCAATGGAAACACGTCAATTTCGTAAAAACTCCCATATATCGCAAAAAAGTTTTTACTCTCACATGAGGTGGTTTTTCAGGCAATTCGAAAAAGGAATATTTTGCAAAACTGCAATGGAAACAGTTTTTGCTCATTTACATGGCACCTGACGTAAATGGCGCGGTATGTTTGGACAGAAGACGAGACAGAGTTCTTCATTAAACTCATAAAACTCATAAAAGACAAAAGTATTACGGGAATACTGGATTCTAAACAACAAAGAAATGCCACAATTTATCAAGACCTTAAAGCAGATAGGAGGGAGAAACACCTCATATTTGCCGCTCCCAAGTATAAGGGTCTTTCCTTGCCATTAATGCCTGGATAACATGCCTACGTCTCCTTCCATTAAAAACAATGGCTAGTGCGGTGGCTGGGATATATATAAACCTACCAACATCCATCGCCATGATTTTTGGAATGACGTTTTAGTCGCATAACATCGGTTAATGGAAACACCATCATTTCGCAATAGTTTTGGAAGGCAGCTAGTGTCAGTTGCGTGAGTCTCTGAATGCGTGAGAGTTGGCAGCCCTGCATTCTAGAAGTATTCATTCTTTCCCAATTTATTGAAGTCATCTGGTGAAATTGTTTTCATATTGCAATATATAAAACAGAAAAACAAAATATCGCAATGTCAGTTTTTTCCCAATATAGTGCAGCCTACCATATATCTGTTACCTTCCATTTCATTATGAAACATATTACTATTATTGTATAACATTATAATGTGTATATGGGTAAATGTACCTGAGTGTGCCCAGTGTTGATCTACCATAGCTATAGGACTCGATAGAACAAAATCATGCTTGGTGACTGTAGAGTCTCTCCATGGCTCAAAGTCATTGCTGATTTACTCTCTCCCACTTCAGTGTGAGAGCACAGGAATGTCATGGTGCAGTGTCATACGCCAAAGCAGAGTCCTTACTTTGAAAAAGCGAGTTGAACTCGCCTTGAAGAGTTGAACCGCACATATAAAATTGCCATGTGACTGAGCCAAGCATGGTTTTTCGGGTTGCACATGGAACATTTAATTTTCACGCCTGGAACCAGAAAAGTATTGCTGATGATAATATAGTTTGTTCACAATAAACAAGCAGATAAAAAACAATCATAACTGGAATTGAACAGTTAGATTTTTGTGACTTGTATTTCTGTTGTATCGTGGCATACTGTTTGTGTTTTCATCATAAAAATTCAGTAGTTTATGACAGCTCATAGAGTCACTGATGCAGCGCTAGCCTGAGGGGATCCAGTAAGAACCTCAGAAAATTCTGCCCCAAGTAATTAAATGCTGGAACATTATGCTTTTTTAATCAGAGGAATAATTTAAATATTCTATTGACGTTGCCTAGATGTAATGCGATTTTCATGGGCTGACCCACTGAGGATAATAACCACAGTAACTGCATATATTTATTAGTCTAGTGACCTAGAAAACCACAGTCAGTTAATACTTATAGTGACATCCGCAGAAATAGCCTTAATGTCAGTCTTGAGTGACCGTGAAGTGTTTCAGAGCACTACTGTCATTAACGGTAAAGATATTTTCTTGTCTTTCTGTTAACTTAACTTTTGACAACTTTTACCTTAGCAGCTCAGCCAAGGCAGTCAGCTGTCAGCTGTTTCAAACAATAATGTGTCCGTTAGATTTCCAGCTCTACAGCGTAGGTTCCTTTGCCTAAAACTGCATTTTGGCTATTATGTCAACCACAGATTTGAATATCTGAAAAGATTTACAATGTCTGTCTTAAATGAGTACCGTACTATTTTCTGATATGTTTTCAGAGCACTGATTTACTTTTAAAGGTCTTGCTCATTAGATGCCCAGAATGAAACTTGATAAGTGCCAGACAGTGAACATCCCAAACCGTTTTGCCATCTGGAACCATCTCATGCAAACTGATGGCAACTCGCCACACAAATTTTCATCTGCCCGTTTATTGTAGATGCATTCACGGGACAGATTTTGCATGGATATAGACTGTTCTCATAGGCACATTGTCTTCATTTTTAAAATGTTCATTTAGAGATGCTCTTAGTGGAACCCCAAGGCACTGCTTTTTTTAATTAGAGCTCTGAGCTTCTTTAATTGCCTGCTGGTAAAGACCATGGGTTTGTACAAGAGCAAGACAGCTATAAGGTCCTTGTCTGCTGGTAATTTCCATACCCAATTCACCTAGTAATTATTACTCATCAACAGTACTAAAGAGGCCAGTTAGCAGCGATGCATGCTGAGGAAACGCAAGGCCACGTGATGATATCTGTATGATGACGCTGGATTACTCAAGACAGCTCTAAATGTG